AGGTTCGCAGCCCGATTCGTAACCAGTACGCTACCAGAGAATAATGGCTCTGTGAAAATATTCCTTTTCTTCATTAGTGGCATGCTCATTCAGCTCTTAATTTGCTCTAACAGTTAAACAAACAGCATAAAAATACATGCTTAAAGACTGTTAGATTGGAAAATTTTAATAGTTTTCATTTATAGTAAAACCAAGGACAGTTTTATAACTTTTTATTGTTATAATTTTTAATATATAGGACAATCTGTCTTTAAGTAGGGGTCATTGTTGTTGTTGTTGTTGTTGTTAGGTGCCGTGGAGTCGGTTCCTACTGATAGCAAGCTTGTACAGGGTTTCCGAGGCTGTAAATCCTTACGGGAGCAGAAAGCCTCATCTTTCTTCGGTGGAACAGCTGGTAGTTTCAAACTGTTGACCTTGCAGTTCACAGCCCTATTTGTAACCACTATGCTACCAGAGCTCCTTTAATTATGGATAGATTATGCTAAAATAAATGAATCCTAGGTAATTTTCCCTTTGCTTCAAGTGCTTAGTTTAAATATATTTCTTGTATCAAATTATACATATATGTATAAAATTTATAATTTATATTTTTATATAAGCCAATATGCCAGGAAATTTGGTAGATGGACCTCTAACATCAAAGATGAAGAAACATTTTTTTCTAACTGTTGCAGTCTTAATTATATATACAAACATATATGTTAAGTGCCATAGAGTTGATTCCAACCCATAGTGACACTGTATAGGGTATCCAAGGAGCATCTGGTGTGTTTGAACTACCAACCTTGTGGTTAGCAGTCCAGTGAGCTTATTCTATAGCATTATACCAGGACTCTTACTGCCTTTCTCTCTAGGGAAACTTTATAGGGTTTCCAAGGAGTGACTGTTAAGTGTGAACCACTGACCTGTGATTTAAAGTGATACTGAGGTTCAGTGGTTATCCTACTGGACTCATATCAGTAGCTCTGGTAGTGTAGTTTATGAGTTTGGCTGCTAACCTCAAGGTCAGCAGTTTGAAACTACTAGCTGTTTCATGGGAGAAAGATGAGGCTTTCTGCTCCCATAGAAATTTATAGCCTTAGAAACCCTATACAAGGTTGCTATGAGTTCTATGAGTGGCTATGTTCAAACTTCATGGCACATAACGAAACAACACACACACACATTATACATATACATATACATATATATATGTATATGTATAATGTGTGTGTGTGTGTGTACAAATATACATATGCTGTCAAGTTGATTCTAGCTCATAGCAACCCTATGTAGGGTTTCCGTGGAGTGGCTGGTGAGATTGAACCACTGACCTTGCAGGTCATACCAACCTTGCAGGTCATACTAACAAATTAGCACATAGCACCACAACACCAGGACTCCTGTATTTATATGTGTGTGTGTGTGTGTGTGTGTGTGTGTGTATATATATATATATATATATATATATATATATATACATACATAAATACATATGTTAAGTGCCATGAAGTCGGTTCCAACCAACAGCAACCTTGTTTGTATAGGTTTTTCCAGGAGCAACTGGTGAGCTTGAACTGCCAACCTTGCGGTTCAAACTGATTTTGCCATCCAGTGTGTTAAACCACAGCACCACACCAGGACTCCTATATATATCCTCCATCCAGGTCTACACACTGAGTCCTGATTTGGTGCTATAGGATAAACTGGATTGTTAACTATAAGGATGGTGGTTCAGATAAACAGGTGTTCCTTGGATCACTATAAGTTGAAATTGACTTGACTGTACCTAACAACAACAGGTCTGTGTACTTCTGAAGGCAATGTTTCCATCTCTGTAACACTTCCAGAATAATTTTGTGCTCTTTGATGTATACTCTTCTAGCTCTTCTAGACTAGGGAGGAGAGATGGGCTGCTTCTGAATATGTAGTCACAGAAAACCTTAGAAATAATAGAGGAACACTGTCAGCACCAGGATGTTGAGTATTAAAATATAATGGAGAGCACCAGAATATTGTCAGATATGGTGCCAGAAGATGAGTACCTCACGTTGGAAAGACACTCAAAATATGACTGGGGATAATCTGCCCCCTCAAAATACAGTTGACTGTGATGACGCAAATTGAGTAAAACCTTCAGGACCTTCATTTGCTGATGGGGCCCAACTCAAAATGAAGAGAAACAGATGTAAACATCCATGAATAATCGGAACATGGAATGTACAAATATGAATCTAGGAAAATTGGTAATTATCAAAAATTAAATGGAATGCATAAACATAAATATTTTAGGAATTAGTGAGCTAAAATGGATAGTGACCATTTTGAATCTGAAAATCACATGGTTTACTGCGCCAGAAGTGAGAAAATGATATGATAATATTTCAATAAGCCTACAAAGAAGACCAGTTAATACCAATATTATTCAAATTTATGCACCAACCACTTAAGTCAATAATGATGAAATTGAAGAATTCTACCAACTTCTTCATTCTGAAATTGACCAAACATACAATTAAGATGTGTTGTTAATTACTGACAATTGGAATGCAAAGGTTGGAAACCAAGACTATTTGGAAAATAGACCTTGGTGATAGAAATGATGCTGGAGATTGCATGATAGAATTGTTTTTTAAAGTTTTTATTGCGACTAGAGTGACAGTTTACATGAGAGAACATCAGTTTTACATTTACTGTTTCATTGCTATGATTATAATCTCTGTGCATCATCATTAAACAGTATTTGCTTCTATTCCCTCTGTTTTTTTGTTTTTATTTTTTGTTTTGGTGGGGGGGGATGTACACAAAAACACTCAGGAATATATAATCATTTAAACAACCAAAGGGTACATTCTACAAATCTGCCTCCTGGCCACCAACACCTGGCTGTCAGCACACATCCTTTCTCTTTCCATGAGTCTAGAGTCCTCAGCTTCTCTCTGTCTCTCTCTCCATCTCTGGTGTCGCTGCTTCTCTGGATAGGTTCCCACATTCCGCTTGTGCTATTATTCTCCCTTGATTGTCCTAGAGTTCTCTGTTCCTGGACTGTAAGATT